ATTATTCCAACAATGTTATGCTATGTAACGTCAGGTATGGATCACTACGTGTGTGGGTGTACAACTGCCATATAGGTAAGTTGGGCTTTTACTTTTCTTTTTTTTTAATTTTAAACAACTACGGTACTTGCAGGGATAAGCTTTGTATCAGTAAAATAGTTCTCAGCTCTTCAAGATCAGGAAACAAACTGTAGTAACATTATCAGAACTCCACAGTTGCAGGATCTTGAAAGCCTGACAAACTTTCTCCTCCCTCTCTGTCTCTCTGTGTCTCTGTCTTTCTCTCTCAGTGAGTGTGTGTATTTCTGTGTATCTCTGTGTGTATCTTTCTCTCTCTCTCTCTCTCTCTCTCTCTCTCTCTCTCTCTTGTACTGAAGAGAATCGAGACAAGAGCAGTCTTGAGTTTCTTTCTCACCCTACCTCTCTCAAGGCTATGCTGGTGTTTATAAAGTTGCCCTCACATTCCTTCTTTCAAGCCATCTCTGTAGTTCTCTACAATAATTGAATCGCTTGTATCAAAACAGTGTAAGAAAAATATTCTTTACTTAAGAAATTCTCTCCCCAGTGATGGTTGTAGGTTGAGGAATACCTGCCGTTTTTCACCTTTTGCACATAGCTATCTGAGTTGACTGTACTATTTGACTCTTCTCTCTCTTTTTCTCCTTTTCACAGCCAACTCTTACTATGAACCAGACCAGAAAGAATATTTCACTGGACTTTGGAACAATCAGGTGTTTTAATTTTAGAGTCCCTCTGTTTTAAAGAAAAAAAGAAAAAAAAAAGGAAGGGCTTTCTCCATGATTTCCCTAACCACTGCTCAGAAAACTGAAGTTATCAAGCAACCAACCACGAATGTTTCACGTTAGCTCTGTAAGTTATTTTTCAAGGGTGTTACTCCAAACCTACTTTGCAATGTTTAGCAGAAGGAGACCGCAACGGCAGGCTCAAATTTCACACCATTCCAAGAGAAGGAAAGTTTTGCACTAGCTGTATGACTTTGCTTCCCTCCGAGTCCTTCAACCCTTGCAAACTCTCACACTCTTGGTCCACTGCAGCATCCAAAGGGGCACCTGATTGACAGCTCTGCAAGGAGGTTTGATGCTCCGCGTTATCTTTTTTTGAGGACTTCTCTTACAGCCTTGGTAGTTTGTCTCTCAGACATTCGAAAATCTGACTCTATGCCACTGGTGGAAGGTCGCCTTTCTTCATCTTAGCCTGCTCACCTCTCCAAGAACACGGGTGATACCAGGGGTGGGAATCCTACCAGCATAACAACCAGTTCGGTGAGTGTGCGTGCACAGTGCTTGTAAATCAACTTCTCCTGCAAGCAGCAATCTTCTCCTGTGCCGCACAAAGCAACAAAGGTTCCTTTAGCAGGGAATAAAGGACAGCCTAGAGCCCAGGTGGGCTCAACCGAAGCAAGGAAGATCGTCAGAGCGAACTGGTTTGGTGTCTTCAGAGCTACCAGTTCTATAGAACCATGCCAAACCGGTAGAATCCCACCCCTGGGTGATACTTGGTTTTGGGAGGGGGAAAAGGTGAAACTGTCTGTAGGGCAAGGAAAATAGGGCCATCCTAACTTCCATCTTGGTTTTAAAAAACCACTAGAATGCGGATTTTTTTTTTTTTTGAAACATAATAAGCCCAGGGTGTCAAACTCAGATCTGGACCATGGGTTGCTTAGATCTGGCCCAGGGAACACCCTGGAAACAGCGAAGGACTGGCCCACAATGCCTCTGCCAGCAAAAATGGAGGTAAGGAAGGCCGTGTGTTCAGTTTTTGTTGGCAGAGCACTTGGGCCCCCACAGGCACCTGTGATGACCCGGGGCACAAAGGCAACACAGTCACATAAATAAGAAGAGTCCCGTTCATACCTCCAACTTTGTCCCCAATGTCCAGGTTACCTTCAGCTGGAGAAAAAACTCTCCCAAGAACAGTCTTTAAGTGGAGAAAATTCAGTCCAAAAATAAAGTACATACAAACTGTAAATAAAAATCCACACAAACCATGCTGCAGCAATTAACTTGACAGGGCAGGAAAAGGAATTGCAGACTTGGAAGGCCAACAAAACACACACAGTTGGGAAGGTGCCAGGAACCCAGATAAGCCTCGACAATAACAGATAACTCACAATTTGCTTCCAACAAGTTGCTGTGCGTAGCTTCCCTTTTTAAACACTGCGTTCCCAGCTGCAGCTAATGAAGGGAATCAGGGCCCTTTCCTCCCACGTAAGCCATGCAACTCATGTTGCTCCCTTCTCTGTTCCTCCCTGCGTGCCCTAGGATGAAGAGGGGCTGGGCCTGGGTCTTCCTCTGAATTCCCTCTCCCTTCCTCTACGTCTTCCCTGCTCTGCCAGCCAGACTGTGCCCTCTCCCAGTTTCTTCCACAGCCAACAGAACCACACTCCTACTCCCAGTCAACTGCTCGGCCTCCCCCTCAGAATCAGATTCCTACAGGGGCATGACAGCACCCATGACACTAGTGATGTCAAGCTGGCCGTGCCCCCCTGCCCGCACCTCCCTGCACCCCGAAGTCAAATACAACCCTGATGTGGCCTCCATGAAATCAAGTTTGACACCTGCCCTGCCTTATGTCTTTTCCATCCAAGCTACTCCACTCTAGCCATCTATTTCCCTCCCGTTAATATTAAGAAATATATCAAGTACACCAAGCTTTTCTCACGATAGACCACTTCCCTATTCATTACAGCAAACTATTCTACAGTATCCTGTAAGATTTTTTTTTTTTTTAATGAATTTCTTAGGACACATTTTTACATGGGAGTCCTTGAAGGGGGTTCCAAAAATCAAGATGGCAACTCCCAACCACGTGATTGTAGCCATCTTGACTTTTTTCGATGATAACCCTTGCGTTAGTAAATGTATGGTGGTGCTAAGCACATTTGCCTCTGTTTGTTTGAGGCCATGCATTGCTGCCGAAAACCATTCCTACTTGAATTTTTTTTTTGTTTCTTGATTTTAAAGGAAAGGCCTTTTACCCAGGGAGACAGTTTTTATACAGTACTTCCAAAGGACATTTAAAAAGCAACAACACAAGTTTCCAATTTTCTTACTTTTACGATCCTGTACAAAAGAAGGAACCGCAAAATTGAGCTATATTTGCTGCAGTGCATCAGAGCTCCACCTCCAGCGTTTTGTTTCTAAAATAATCATCATCATCATAATCAGATATATCTTTTGGAGGTTCAAAAAGGTGAATGTGAACTTTCATCTATTGTTTCTTTTACGCATCAGTGACTAAGGGTAGATTGTC